CCCCCATCTCCTACCTACTAGCCTCATCCCACCCCCTTGACCTATCCGTCCTCCCTGGACTGACCTATCCCCTCCCTAACTCCCCACCTACACTCACCCTTACTGGCTCCATCCTCGCCTCTTCGACCTGTTTGTTTCCTCTCCTCTATCCATCTTCTATCCGCCTCCCCCTCTCTCCCTATTTATTTCAGAATCCCCTTCCCCTCCCCCATTTCTGAAGAAGGGTCTAGGCCTGAAATGTCAGCTTTCTTGCTCCTCTGATGCTGCTTGGCCTGGTGTTCATCCAGCTTTACACCTGGTTATCTCAGATTCTCCAGCATCTGCAGTTCCTACTATCTCTGTGTTCTACTGTACATCAGATAACTATCCTTATCCTAAAAGAAGATCCAGGAGCAGGCTGGCAGGCAGGTGGGATGGGACAGGGGGGTGTAAATTCAAGTGGGAGTGCAGTGTCTATCACTTAGCCGTCTCTACTGGAATTTTACCAAGAGTTTTATGTATCCTGACCATCCTTGAGCCAATTAAGCCTTGTAAGTAGCCAATTAATTGCATCTTCCTTTAACTACTTGCTCTGGATGGAACCTAGACCATTTACTAAGGCTAACAGGTGCCTAGGATACTCTGTGTCTTACGGAGGGCCACCAATGTCATTCTTGACTGTGAGCTACACCATCCCAGCCTCTTGATTACTGTCCCACCTTCAACTGGGCCTAGTGAGACCACCCCATTTAGTGAATACTCTGGCCACTGAATACACTTTGTTAGTTCTGATAGCAGTTCGAGCAGAGGCCACTGCTCCCAGTGACAGGTCTGGGAGAGAAATGTTGCTGGCCATTTGACTGTGAGCAGAAGCTGTGACTTTAGAAACCTAATTGCCTGACAACCACAAAATCTGGTCATGGTTTCCAGGACTCCCAGGAACAGGCTCACCCTGACTTTCCAGCTGGAGAGCTAGGTCACCAGCTCCATGTTAAATCCTAGCCATTCAAAACTAATGCATTTAAACAGTTAAAATTGGTCCCATTAGATAAATTATAACCTGTAAATATTGTGCTGAAATCAATATATAGAACTGTATTCACATGTGAACAAGCATGCAAATTTTCCTTTTAAAAGATAAAACTTGAAATTGTAACACACGTGATATAAAAATCCAAGTGAATGGTGTAGTTTCAGGGTGACCAGCCAAACAAAAAAATCCTGCTGTGTACAAGGGATTCATTTAATCTGATTCCTTGTCAATCTACACTTATGTACTTTCACATCCTTATAAACGATCAGAGAACTGACATGAAAATTCTGTCAGTGCGACAATTTAAGCAATTAGGCAGGACTGTAATGCCAGCGGATCTAATCCATTGCTCTGGCTGAGGCACTAAATAATTTAAACAACATCTACCCTGAAATAAAGCTCATAAACTACAGTACTAATTATCAAATTTAAATCACTCCCTTTTTAATCATAAATCATTAATCCTGAAATTTGAGGAACTTACTAAAACCCTCAGCGTTTGTGGCACGTTAACACTGAGTACTAAATTATCAAATGTAGGACATAATGATTCGCACGGGCAGAAGAAATGTACACAGGGATTGAATGAAAAACACTTTTTTTTTAATATTTCCTGCTGAATTTCATCTTTCACAGGCATAAATTTACTAACATATTTTACTGAAGCAGCAAGACTAAACTAGATGACAATGGTCAGGAAATCACCTGGGGTGTTTATTTTATAAATTGGATTGCAGACACAGTGTGGAAACTGCACAAGTATTTTTCATATTTTCAATATTAATGTTAAAATTATTCAGTTGCAAAAGGCAGGAATATATTTTTACCATTCATTCCCTCAGTGCCCTTAACTAAAGGTCAAGTTATCCAGCAACTGGTTGTCACATTTCCATAGAATGAATTGCCAATTAGAATTTTTTTTTATAGCTGCATAATGAAGTGGGAGAAGAAAATGAACAAAATGTTCAGTTTTGCCTTCAGTGCATCATACAGACTCCCTCAGTTGGGTAAGAAAGCTAGACTGATCCTACTGTATCGCACTTTTGCACGCCAATGCTCATCACTTCTCCCCCTTTGCTGTTTTAAAAAAAAAAAATCAACCTGTTCAGATATGACATACCTCTAAGGACAAGTGGGACTTGAAACTGAACCTTTTGGCTTAGAGGCAGGGATGCAATCACTGTGCCACAAGAGCTCTCCTCTTTTGCTGTAGAGTCAACTTCATGTTGTGTCTACTTGAGAAACAAGTCTCATGAACTTAATAGTTAAGTTCAGAGATTTTCAAGATGAAGCCTATCTGGAAATTGGTAAGGTGGCAGCCTACATTCACAAAATAGTGAAAATTAATACTTTTGCTAACTTAAAACAGTTCCAATTCTAATCCATTAATTAAATTCAAACAAGCTAGAAGCAATGAATATGTAATTACAAAACTGTTACTAATAGAAATAATATTGCTATAAGTAGGTTCACTATGACTCAGTTACAATATATGATCCTACAAATTATAGTTTGTGACATTAGCTGTAGAATGATTAACATAGTTCTTTGACATTCTTTTGATTTTGAGCAGCGTTACGCCTCTGTTAAAATAGGAAAGGAATGTATTAAGTAATTGGATAAGAATAGCATAAACTATAACTTTCAGCAAAACAAATCACATTCACTTGAATTTTCACTCACTGAGAAAACCAGTGAAAATAAATGCAGGGAGTAGGTTGACTATAGCCCACACTTTTCATTCAATCTATGTAAAAAAAATGTCAATACCGTTACCTCATTTGAAGGCTGATTCTCCACCCCTGCCCTATTTTCCACTGAGGCGTACTTCTACAAATATCGCATGAGACTTTCAGAACCTAAAACAAGCTACATTTTAGTTTCTATGCCAGCAAACTATTAAGGGCAATTCCCTCCCTCTGTTTGAAATATGATGAAACTTAAAACTAACATCAGGCCATATCAGCTCACTGCCTGTAAACGGGAGTTCAGTACTACAAAACAAACAGGTTATTGCAAGTTTGTATTTAAAAGACAACAAGACAGGCGATTTGTAAAATGGTAAAATACCTTTCTGAAAACAAGCCAAGTCAAAGAACAGGGAACCTTAACGTGTATTTGTCTACTGTATATGCGTTTGAAACTGGGACAGGAGAATAAAAGTGGCACTGATATCCACCCCTTTCCTTAGTATCTTTGTTAATTCATTTATGGAATATGAGAATCATGGAAAGGCCACTTAGAGTAAAAGTCCAAAGAACAACTGAAGGTAGGACCTTGGCTGTCATTATTCATGATCTATTACGCAGCTGTGTATAAAAATGCATTCTGCTTGGCATTATGATCAACTTTTTGTGACCAGATGTCTATGTAAATGACATTTTACATGTTGTGCTAACAGGCTTCTGTCCCATTGCTGCCATTTAGGTCATTCAACCCAAAATAATTAAAGAATATTTTGATCAAGACAAATTGCTAACAAATTTGACAATGATAATAGGAGTATAAAGAAATGCGATGATTCAAGATTATTAGTTCTACCAAGAAAACTCCTAAGATATCACGTGCAATTTGCATTGTAATGCTTTCTCTAGTACTTCTAGCATATCCGGGGAAATATGCATCTGAACCTCAAAGGTGTAAGAAATGAAACTTCAGCATGTCAACCTAGGATATTTTGGATGTTTTACCAGAAATGATTACCCTCTGTTGGAAGGGTTTTGTTTAAAAAAAAAAATTGTGTGCTGTCTGAGTGGCAAATGTTACTTTTTTGCAGCATTACAGAAAAAAAAGACAATCTTATCATACATCACTGTTCTGCACAAACTTTTAGCATCAAACACAATTTATTTTCTCCCTGAAATCTAATACTAAAACATAGTACAGTAAATTACTATTCACAAGTTTGATGACTGTACAAGTAAACCACTTAAAACAAGAGCTGCTTGATTAACTGACATGATTATGAAACTTAGAAGCCAAGCCCAAGATTTATAAAATGCTGTGCTTTCAGTAGAATACTGAGGGATTTAAATTTTAGTGTGCAAGGTTGAGTATTTACAACTACCCGTACAGTGATTTTTGATGTTAATTTCTATCAATCAGAAAACCAGGAACTGTCACAGAAAAAAATAAAATGTAATAATCAAAATGTTAATATGAATGAATTTATTGATAAACATTGTAATCCTGAACTGTAAACAGTCAAGATATTTACAAAATTTTCAGCAGAGTTTTGACCCAAACTGCTGGGGAAGCAGCCAAAATATTTCATCAGTGGCAATACTGCTAATACAAACATAAAATATTTTAAAAAGTGAAATTGCAACTTTTCAAAGGACAATATTTGATATTATTTTGTTGTCAAGAACTTAGCAGAATTCTTGAATACTTTGCACTTTACTTCTGGTGTAATTTTGACCCAGAGGCACATGGACATTACTTGTTTTTAATAGTAACTTGCAAAATTACAAACTATTATCAAATACAAACATACATTTTTTAAAAAACAGAATTACGTAGAATTGAATATTTAGAGCTTAGGGAAATATTTTTCTGTGGATTAACTGAATAAAAATGTCTAAAAATAACAGTAAAACATCTTAAGATTATAACTTGAAATGCAACTTAATTCAAATACCCTATCACCAAAGATGTCCGTCAGCTGCTATGTCAAACAAGTCATCACATAAAACAGTAAAAAAAAATGAACTTGTGTAGCACATTAAGTCAACGTTACTATACTTGTTAATTGTGGATGCCTTGGCAGAAAGGTAAACTGTCCATTCTACGACACAAGTAATTGTTTCATTCAAATGGAGCGGTCATGATAAACAAGTGCCAACGCACCATTATATTGAGTTAGCAGAATATTTTTAAACATAGTAAATTAGACACTCATGTAATGCTGCTCCAAATATAAGGAGATATATCTATTACAGAAACAACTGTATATACTTACATAATACTGTTTCTTATATTAAAATGGAAATCAATTTGAGGTATTTTTATGATTTATTTAGTTTAAATCTGGATGATTACCTCAAATACGTTTCCTGTAAAATAGAGAGACATGTAGCAGCTGGAAATGATAAGGAAACAGTTAACCAGCAGTAAATTGTTGGATCGCAGTTTAATCAACGGACTCTTCTGATACAGAGACTATGAAATAAATCCTAAGTATCTATGGGAATCAGAAGGCTGAGATTGAATTACATACTTAAGCCTATTTATTATTGCATACAATAGAACCTAAATGGTTTTTAAAATTGTCTTAGCTATGTTCCATCCATATGCTGCAACCATTCTTAAAACATTTAATAATTCATGCAATTTGAAAACACAGAAGAAGGAACTACAACTTGTTGATATGTCTGACTGAATCTATATGAAAATATTTAATCTGCAGTTACACAAGTTCATTCGCTTGGTAACAAAGCATTTTAAGTTTTTATTATCATGTTATTGCTAAATATTCAGTTTCTATGTATTATTTCATACCCTGTCTGATAACCCTTTAAAATGTACCCAATGCCATACATATCACAAATGGACCTTTGATCTACATGTCAAAATACCTCATTGCATAAAACCTTTCAAACTTATCAAAGCAAAATGACGAGTTGCAGAAGTCTCCATTGCCTCAAGAAGGCATAATAGGTTCTTAAAATATTCAAAACAGCTAATGATGCAAGAATGCAAAAGTATTTGTGAAAAAAATTACATGCTGTACTTTTCTAACTGTAACTTCCAAGTTATAATTTTCTGGTGATGGCAATTTTGCACGAGCATTGGCATATTCTGTCTAAACTGGCACGTATCATCAAAAATACAAATGACTTGCATTAAGTAATAAGATAATATACCTGGCATTTCCTGTTTAACTGATTAATTAAAAGTATAAGCAGCATGGCATCGCTATTTCCATGTTACAGATTAACACCAATTTGAACTAATTTAACAAAATACTCTGAGATTCACGAACTTTTGTAGAACTCACCGTGACATTTTCTCAGGAATGTATCCTTGCAGTTGGTAGCCATCATTTCTCCCAGGAGAGATGGAACTCTGTGGCGTGACAGGGTGCGATTTCCAAGATCCAAGTACAGTGCATACAGGAGTAATTAAATTCAAAAGCTGATTTCGCTGTTCTCTCATAAAAGGGCAAGGCACAGAAATTGTGCCAGTGGCTCCAATTCGGTAATGAAATGATTGTCCAGTTGAATTAACACCGATGATGGTGGATGGAAGTGAACAGTTGGCTTGGCAATAACCTTTGTCATTTGGCTCCTGTTTGATCACTGTTGTCAGGTTGGGTTGCAAAAATGTATCATGTTCATAACTAGAGTTAGAGGCGGATGTGGGGATCCCCAAAACCCCATATAGGTCAAAGGTGTCTCCAAAACTTGCCTTTGCATCAATCAACTGATGTGCAATTTCTGAACAGGGGTTTTCTGAAACTTGACCAGTATACATTGTGTTCAGACAAGTGGTTTCATTCATCTCACATTTTAGAGGCATTGAAAACATTGAATTAGGTAAGTCTGAACTACCTCTACTTAGAAAACATGCCCCACCAAAATCACTGTCTACTTCTGTTTTCATAAACTGGGCAGTATTAACATTGTTAATTGGTCCTGGGTCTAAGCATTCATCTTTTATTTTCTCATCCTTAAATACTTTAGGTGCCTCATGCTTTTGATTTCTTGCTCTCGAGTTCTGGTCGGGATTGAGGATCATTCTTGGCTCAGCAACAGGGCTAGAATTGGAATAGCGCAGATTATTTACAGCGGGGCTGGAGACAGAAGAGGCCACGTTGTTATTGTTAGGGCTAGACAAAACGTTAGTATTAGTAGATACAGAAAGAGGAGAAGCAAGATTATTAGGAGTAGAAAGAGGAGAGTTCATGTTATTGGGACTGGAGACTGAAGAATGCAGGTTACTGATATTGGCAGGACTGGAGATGGAAGTGCCCAAACTGTTCATATTACTAGGACTAGATATGCTGACACTATTCATCTTAATAGAACTGGAGACAGCACAATGAACATCACTTGGGCTAGTGGTAGAAGTACTAAAATTATTGATATTATCAGGGCTAGAGATGGAAGATCCCAGATTGCTAACAGTATCAGGACTAGATAGAGATAAGTAATTTATTTTAGCAGGATTAGAGACACAAGAGTTAATATTAATAGGACTTGACACTGAAGACCCTAAGTTATTAAAGTTTACAGGACTAGAGATGCATGAACCCTGACTATTTCTTCCAGGGCTGGAGGAAGTGGAACATCGTCTCATCCCTCGCTGTAATAAGATAGCATTAACCTTCTCCTCCTGAAGGTTCAGTTCGTGTCCACCAATTTCTGCAATATTGCTAGACCTTCCCTCCATTTGTTCAGGTTGTATGCTGTAGTTAAACTCACCACCCATTTCTTTTGCAGAATTCATATACAAACCCATAGACTCAGCAACAGTTTTTGACAGTTCTTTAGCAGGTCCTAGGTTGCACTTTGGATCTGAAGCAAAAAAACCAAGGTGCTGATCTTGGTGTTGCACATGATAATGAGGCTGATGCTGAAGAACTGGAGAGACCTCCTGACTCCTTTCTCCATCAGCATTCTTCACAACTGGAGGTATGCAACTAACATTGAGGACAGTCATTGCCTTGCTGTCACAGCTATCAACCTGATCTTTTCCAACGTTCAAGGTCGATTTGTTTAGGCTCCACTGTCTTCCGATATTCATTACTTCAGGGTAGTCAATATATCCTTTGGTTTCCATTACTGTTTCTTTAATAGACCTACAACACAATTGAATTGTATTGTTAAAAAAAAAGATTCCGTTCCATTTCAGATAGAAAACATATATATCTTTGCAAGAATAACAATTCATAAAATAAACTTTCAATTTGTATTAATCAACAACAAACATACTTAGTTAAGGTATTCCCAAATTAAATGTATACTTTATATCCTAATGTATTTAAGAACAAAACTTTAATCAATCATTGCAGACAGTACGCTTTCCATGTAACGTTGACTTTGAAACAAGAGTCGTCATTAACTCCAGATAATCTATAGAAAGTTGCTGTGCACGAGTTCTCTATTAACGAAAGAGCTGCAAGCAATTGACGGTGAGATTAATGATGTGGCATTCCTGATATTTAGAAGGTTTTTTTAATGCAAATAAAACAATGCAACTAGGATACAACAGTGAAGCCAAATATTGTTTTGCAATATAACGATGACACAGTAAGAAAATTGTAGGTTGCACGACCATTTAAACAAGCATACATATGTACATCACTCCGACTCTAAACATAATTATGAGATTAATGGTAAAAGATGATACAGACCAAAACAGCACCACGAAAACCAAAATCTTACTAAATCCTATATTCCCAATTATGCAGCTTTATTTCCCTTTCTGGCTCAAAGTTTGAATAACTCGACAATACAGTTCGCGTCAGGTGGACTTAACATAAACATTCTTGTCGAACAGTAAGTACCCCATAGTCTTAGAGGATTTTACGGCAGGGACCACTGCCAACCACCCTTCCTCGCAGAAGACCCAGTTTCATGTTCATTAATCCCTGGGCTGGTTGACTGATTTACACCAATGGAACTATAGCACCACTGCACTCTACAAATCTGGAGCGTGTACCTGCCGAACCGCCTGGATTTGCCCTACTCTTCACCAGTTGCTGCTGATTCTACATCCCCGATTCTTTCGTCTCACTCGTGATTTTGCCTGAGCCTTAATGTTTACTAGACGACGATTGCAGTTTCAATTACATGTCCAGTCTTCTCATCAATAATAAAGCAAAACATTAATTAAACTGTCAGCAGTGCCTTGTTTTAACATTGTTTTCTGCGACTCACCACTTCCCTTATGCGACTTGTTTGACAGTTTTTTAGCTGACTGGTGCAAAGCAATTCAAATCAAAGCTAAAACACGTAGACATGATGTAGCTCAAATATACACGTAATGTATATATTGATGTGAACGAGTGAGTGGATTATTTTCACCAGAAAGGGGAGGGTGAGAACGAAATGATTGGGAGGGGTGCTCCTCTCGCGTCTTTTCGTTGACTGGAGAGATTTCGTGGGCATCCCGCCGACCGGCAGCGCAGATTGGTTATAGACGGACAACCATGTCCCTTTAATACCCGAGCGAAGCGGCGGCGCCCTACTCTCATTGGTCGGATGAACTGTCATTCCGGGTCAAGCTGCCGCAAGTTGCAGCTGGTGCTCGGCTCGGAACGAGCGCGAGACCGAGTGTGAGCGAGAGTGAACTTTCCCCAGGCCCCGGCTAACCGTCAGCCGGCCGCGCGCCCAACCGTCCCCCATAACTTCACTGAGGGTGTGCCTGAGCCACCTGCAGACACTCACTTCAATAAATATAACTGCTGCGACTGAAAATATATTACATGTATATCCGGAAGGAGGCGGGGAAGGGTGAGGGGAGAATATCTGGTAAGACTCCACCCGGCTGACGCAATGTAAAAAAAACACGACGTTTTTCCTTTGGTTGCTGGAAGGCTTTACTTCATTTTTTTATATAACGCTTGCTTTAAGTGAAAACCACCATTTTCATGCAAACCTTTTCGATAGGTTTACATTAAGCAGAGTGGAATCTGCATTCTTTCTATGAAGAAAGCGGTTTTCAAAATCTCCCCCTTTTTTGTTCTTAAATCGTCACGGGAGAAAAGTTGAACTTGGGAGATTTTATTGAAATGAAACCAAAGGTAGTGGTGTCGGGGGAGAGGCGATGTTCAGCCCACATTTAATTCTATTTCTAGAGGGAAAGGTCAATCTGCGCAACGCCTCACTGACAGGCTGACTTTTCAAAGGTTTTTTTAATGGTTGCAGACATCGTCAGGTTTTGTCATTCGCACTCAAGTTAGTTAACCACGAAACCGCTGCTATTCTGGCTTAATGCCTAGTTAAAAATAAATGTATGTAGATACATAGAAATATAAATATTGCACAAACCTTCACATCCAACTCATTGCGATATGAGGTCGCAGGACAGTATAGCAAAAAAGATCAAACCCTCCAAGATCCTCAAGATGCAACACTTTTATTTTTCTTTTAAAAAAAAGTCTACAGTACAGATCAAATCACTTCAATCCACGCAGTTGACGGTTCGGTTCCCGAACGAACTGGTTTACTTGTCCTCTGAATTTATTCCTTCTCGGCAATCAAACATCCAAGTTCGCGAAACCAAATATAAACGGAATAATCAAAGAGGGGAAACTTTCTGTCCATTGCATATTTGCTTGACTCCTTCCTTTTCTGTTCTATTGCAATGTTGCTGAGACGCTTAGACGTTGCCACTCACATGCAGGCTTCACTGCTGCTGTTTCTGCTGCCGTCCTGACGTCAGGCTGTGTGTGTTGACACTGCACTGGACTGAGTTGAAGGGGGAACCGCTACATAGTACCAGTGGAAATATCATCATTGCAAAACCTCACTAATCTTCTCCCTCTCTTTCTTTTGCAAAACATTATCTGTATTTTATACAAATTTGAAAGACGAAATTAGGCCAGCAGTGAAGTATTAAACAGTCAATTCCCTTGCTCTTACCTTTCTTTGATATCTTCCTATGGATGTTCTCTATTTCTTCACATTTCTGATTCTGTATTTCTAGTCTCACAACCTTATTGGGTCTCTCTCTAGCCTCAGCTTTTTTTTTCTCCTTTTGGATGGGAAGTGGAGGGTGAATGTAACGGGCAAAACTGCTCTGCCAACCCCATCACTGACTGATCCAGTGACTCACTGCCTCTTACTATGACTGACAGAATCTCTCTTCTTGATAAAGACAGATGTAAAGTCCTCATACAGAATCTCAAACATACCTTCTGCCTCCATGTGTAATTCCCCTTTTTGATGCTTAGTCAGTTGCAGCCTTTCCTTACCACCCTTTACAATTTTTATGCCTATAGAAGATGTTTGTATTGGTTTAATTTAGCTGCCATTCTTTTTTCATGTTATGTCTGCTTCTGATGTGGAGGTGCTGGTTTTGGGCTGGAGTGGACAAAGTCAGAAATCATACAATGCCAGGTTATAGTCCAACAAGTTTATTTGACGACACAAGCTTTCAGAGTCTCAGTCCTTCTTCAGGTGTTAGTGAGAGAGGTAGTATCAGACACAGAATTTATAAGTAAAAGATCAAAGGTTCACACCATTGATGAGGATGTACTAAACAACACTAAGATGCTGTTAAATCTGTAATCAGTTAGAAGATTTTAATTGATTAATATGTATGAGTGTTTATAAATTGTGTGCTTTTTGAACACCCCACAGATTCATGTGTGTGTGTGTGTGTGTGTGAGAGAGAGAGGGAGAAAGAAGGGGAAGAGGGAGAGTCTGTGTGAGTGAGGGCGGAGAATTCGTATCTGCAGATACATTTTATTTTGTTCAAAAATTTATAGAAGTCAGTCAATATGGAGTTTTATAAATTCCTACTTTAAAATATAACCAGTCTGGCACCTAACTAAAATACAAACAGATTCTAAACAAGGTCTCACACCTAACATGCATTGTCTGACCTAAGATGTCACCTCTTCTTTAACTGATAAAACCTTTAGTTCTCTCAGGACCTTGACTTGAAAGGAATTCGGGGATTTATATATGCATATTAATCAATTAAAACCTTCTAACTGATTAAAGATTTAAAAGCATCTAAGGTTTGTTTAGTACAACCTCATCCATGGTGTGAACCTTTGATCTTTTATTATAAATTCTGTGCCCAATACTACCTCTCTCACCAACACCTGAAAAAGGACCGAGACTCCAAAAGCTTGTGTTGTCAAATAAGCCTGTTGGACTATAACCGGTGTTTTGAGTGATTTCTGACCTCTGTGCTTCTGTCATTACTTTTTCACTTCCCCTCTGAACTTTTGATATTCATCCTGATTTTCACTTGTCAACCAGAAACATCATCCAGAACGTTTCTATGTTTTAGCTTACTCCATTTTTTGTCATCTAGGAATCACTGAATTTGTTTCTCTTCCCTTTCTCTTGTGGGAAAGCACCTTGACTGTACATAAACTGTGTCCTGTTTAAAGACATTTCTGATGAAGGGTCTAGGCCCGAAACGTCAGCCTTTCTGCTCCTATGATGCTGCTTGGCCTGCTGTGTTCATCCAGCTCTGCACCTTGTTGTCTCATTATTCATTACAGTCTGGCCTTGTAATCTTTAAATTTGGTTTAACTGGGCCAACTCTGTTCTCACTCAATTGAAATTGGCCTTGGCCCAGTTAATTATTTTCACTCTGCATCGCTGCTCGCCCTGTTTCATAGTTAACTTAATCCTTATGATGCTATAATCACGGTCCCTGAAATGTTCCTTTACTGCCATTCCGCTTGACTTGCCAAAATCTACGCAACCAGATCTAGCTGTGCCTCCTTCATCACTGGACTGGAAACAGACTGATCAAGAAAATTCTCCAACCCACTTCAGAACTCTTTTTCGTCCTTTACGCCACCACTATCCCAGTCAATATTAGAAAAATTAAAATTTACAATAACTCTATAACGTTTATACCTCTTGGTGATAAGCAAATGGATTCTGTCCTTGACCCCTCTCAGACATTTGCTTTCTCCAGCTGTATTATTAACATTTATCAAGACTACCACCTTTCTCTTTATTTTTCTTTCCCTATCTTTCGTAAACGCCTTGTTTCCAGGAATGTTTAGCTCATCCCTTTTTTGTGTACCTTGTCTTTTATCTCCACAATATCCTAATTCCTGAGTGTCTATCTGGACTAATGTCAATCTTGTTTGATCTTCACAGTGCATTCACATCGTGCACCATAGTCCTAATTTAGACATTATTGTATTTTCTCTTTCCTTGACCCTATCTAACAATTTTCTATTGCTGACTTTAGCGCTATCTGTCTCTTCCAGTCCTTTGTGATCTTGTTTTTCCTTTCCGTTGTTATATCCTGTTATATACCATTCTCCTACCAAGTTGGTATAAACCCTCCCCAATAACAAGAGTCAACCGCCACACAAGGACATTGGACCCAGCATTTCTGAGTTACAAATCGTTTAGACTGTATGCGTCCCCCACCTCCAGAACTAGTCGCAACATCCCAAAACTCTATGCACCATTTCTCCAGCCATGTATTCGTCTGTTTATAGAGTCTATAGAATCCCTACAGTGTGGAAACAGGCCCTTCGATTCAACAAGCCCATACTGACCCTCAGAGCATCCCACCCAGACCCATTTCCCTATAACCCACTTAATCTGTACACCCCTGAATACTATGGGCAATTTTTTTAGCATGGCCAATCCATCTGGCCTGCACATCTTTGGACTGTGGGAGGAAACCAGAGTACCCTGAGGAAACCCACGCAGACACGGGGAGAATGTGCAAACTCCACATAGACGGTCGCCCGAGGGTGGAATTGAACCCAGGTTTCTGGCGCTGTGAGGCAGCAGCGCTAACCACCTGTTCTACTCTTCTATTTTTGTACTTACTGGCACATGGATTAGGAAATAATTCAAGTTAGTTTCTTCGAGGTCCTGCTTGTTAGTTTTTTTTCTCCCAGCTGCTTATAATTGCCTGCCTTTTCCTTCTTTCTTCCTATGGTATTAGTACTGATGTGTACCATTGCTGGAAAACTAATAATTACTTTTCAACTAGCCATATGAAATCTTTCTGAAGCCTAAAAACATTCTGAAGTTTATAGGATAACAAAAAAAACTTATACCAGAGGTACAATCAAGACATTTTTTAAAAAATTCTAGTTCATTGATAGCTACTATTTCATAAAAAAACAAATGCTCTGTATAATACACGTCAGTGTTTTCAAAATGATTTGAAGAAAAGCTGCTGAGTCCTAGAAGTTAAGGACCTTTTTCATATTCTTAACGAAAGCTAACCAAACAGTACTGAATGATGCATTCTTGAAAATTAGCCACTTTACACAATTCAAATTCAACTCACAGAGTCACAGAACCCAGCAAAGTTATTACATTAAAGAACAGGCTTTGAGAAATGTTGAGGTCTTCAAATACAAATTTAATTAAAACACTAAAAGTCATAGAATATAACTCAGGAGAAAAATTTTGTATTACAGTGAAATAAAAAACTTTTAATTTTTAACTCTCATTTTG